ACTGCCCCCCTCCCAGGAAGCTCAAGGATGAATGGTCTCTGATCAACCCCAGGTAAGTGAGCTAAAGGTTGGGATCCTATCACCAGCACAGTTCAGACTTCCTGATCCTCCCTGCCTCTTAAGTCATGCTCACAGTTTTTCAGAACTGATCACCAGGCCCAGGACCCAGGTGGATGGAAAAAAACAGAACTCAGAAGCAAAATGCAATAAATTTGAAATGAATTGCCTTAGGATTTTGCCCAGGGACTCTTGTATTGAACAACTCACTTTCTCCCTGGCACACTCTAACTTCTCTTCGTTTCAAGTACCAGCTCTATCTTGACACCAGAGACCTTGGAATCCACCCTGATACCGCTCTCCTCACACTGGTATCTTTGACCTATTACAGAATCCTGACAGTTCTCAGATCCATTTACCTCTGTCTCCACCACCCCAGCTCTAACTGAAGCCATGAACCCCACGTGAATGATTCCAATAGCCTCTCTGCCAGTCTCCTTCATCCATTGGCTCTCCTTCAATTATTTCTTCACAACTGAACTTGTGATCTGGTCAAAAAATAAGTATAATTATCGCTAATGCTATCCCACAAGAAAACAAATTTCTTAGCATGGTTTAGGATACGCAGGCTCTATAACCTGACCACCTAGATTCAAATTCCAGTTCTGCCATTACACTGGCTGTGTCTTTTGACAAGTTACTTAATTTTTGTGCCTCGGTTTCCGTATATGTAAAATGGAGATATTGATAGTACCTCCCATAAAGTTGTTGAGGGGATTAAATAAAACCAAATATCTGGAATAATTCCCAGAACATAATAACCACTCAATAAATTTACAAAATACTGCTAGGCTCAGCTGACAATGCTTCCCTCTACCCACATGGCCTTTAATCTGCTCCGCTTCCTCACCAACATCCCCCAGATCTCAGGACCTTTATAAGGGCTATTCTCACTCTTCCCTTCTATGGCAATACCTTCTCAGGTATGAAAAACCTCCTCCCTGGGTTAAACTCCCCAGTTTTAGGTTCACAGCATTGGGTACCTCACCTTGAAAGCTATTGCCACAGTGACGATTTTACAATAATTAGTAGGATTATTTGGTTAATATCTATCTCTCTCCCAACTCCACAAAAGTGACACCAGGTTTGTTTTCCCTTTATCTTTGTATCATACCAATCACCTCAACCTCCAACTCCTATAGTAAACTCCATCCTAAGCTTCAAAACAGTATACCCACCTGTCTCTTGGACCCAAGTATTTAGCTCTCCCAAATTCACTCTATCAGAATTGAAATTCACCGCATCACTCTTTGAACTTGTTAACTGTTAGAGTGAACATCACCACTATTACCTTGCTACCAGGAACCTTGGCAGTCGTCCCTGACCCTCCCTCAGCCCACATATCCAACGAAGGAACAAGTACTGATACATCATCTCCTACATATTTCCTTTATCTTTTGATTCTTCTACTCTTTGAGTGTAAATGTTTTGTGTGCTTTGTTGTTCCAGTACCAGTAACAGGATTTAACTGTTCATGAATAAATTAAAAACAAGGTCACTGTGATTGGTTGCCTAATCTATCTCCCTTCCCGCCTTCCTGGCTCACAACTTAGTGTGACAATATCACCATCCCCCTCAAAACCTTGGAACCATTCTGCATTCTGCTGTCCCAGGCTGATTCTCCAGCCACCAGACAGTATTTCCCAATGGTTAACAATGACCAGGACCACTTAATAAGTGTTTGTTTATTGATTGATTGATTGATTGATTAACTGATTGATTTTGAAAGGAAGAAATAGTGCGTAGACTACCCTGGTGGTCTGAAACCTCCAGCCTTCTTTTCCCATTCACTAAAGTTCTTTCTATCCAGAGGGAAATTATTCATGAAAGTGGCTGAGAGGACATATCCCTAATCACTGTATTTAAAACACAAATAACAAGGAATACCGGGCATTCCCTTTTGGTGCCCAAAAAAAAAAGAACAAAAGTATCAGAGAACTGGAACCCATCGGTGGCTCTGGAGTACAGCCACAGGAACAGGACATCTTCAGATAGTCTCAGGACTGTCGCATCTTGAGAGGTATCTACTTTTCCTAAATCTCTCCTCTCCTGGCCTCCGTTGGAACACTTTAACATTCAGTCCAAATGCATGGCCATTGCTGTGACAGCCTGCCTCTGGAGCCTCAGCAAGGGAACCAGGGGAGCTGTCCTCCTGCTCTTTCAGCCAGGGGTTATTACCGTGAGCCCAGAGTCTTCCAAGGCTCCACCACACCCCAGTGTTACAGCCACCTCATCCCTTAACTCAGCCACATCAGTCTGCTGGAGATCTGGGAGGAAACAGGACAGGCAAGCAGCCTCTGCCAGCTTCCTTCTTGCTTGCTCTCCGTTGAGGGCTTTAAGGACCACCATAAATAGCATCCTTCTTCCCCACCCAAATTTCTGGACCCCTAAAGTGAGAAGGTGTAGCCACAAGATATTTGGAGGATCAAAATATTACCTGCATCACTGACAAAACCTGGGAATGCAGGATGTGACTCACACCTGTGGGTAAGTGGTCTTCTTAAAACTCAACCTCAGAATTGGACAGACTTGACGGCCTGGTTTTAAGATCTACATTCCAGAGGAGCAGAACAGGAATCTGTGCTTCTGGCCAGCAAACAAGAGGGCAGAGCAGAACTAGAGGCACATAAGGCACACCTCCTCCACCAGAGGAGGGTAGGAGTGTTACACAACAGATATTCCTCCAAGGGAAACATCGTGAGTGAAGAAATATTCCTTTTGGTGCTCTCCGCAGCTAAAATCTGCAGGCATCGATTATATTTCAACAAGTCATGAGTTGTCATTAAGATGGGAGTAACAAAAAACCATGTTAGTGCCAAGCATGGTGGTGCACACCTGTAATCCCAGCAGCTTGGGAGGCTGAGACAGGAGGATTGCAAGTTCAAGGCCAACTTCAGCAATTTAGCAAGGCCCTCAGCAACTTACTAACATCCTGACTGTAAACAAAAAGGGCTGGGGGTGCAGCTCAGTGGTTAAGAATCCAGGGTTCAATCCCCTGTACAAACAAAAACAAAAACAAAACGTTTTATTCTAGTACCCCAGGACACTCTAAAAGAGGTTCTGCCTTAGTCCTCCTGGGTTCTCAGTCTTACTCAACCCATAGAGAATTCCAAACATCTGATAACCGATAGGCCTCGGGCACCAGCCAGTCAGAGCAGAGGCCCAAACAGTCAGAACAGAGCTCCAACAATCAGACTCAAGTAGCTTCCCTGGAGCGCTGCCTTGGTTATCTGAAAACCAAGAAGATGAGGTTACCGGAGGCCAAAGCCTGGGAGCTTGATAACACTTGCGAGGGATACGAGCCCTCTGGGGAGCCTATGAGGGTAAACAGGGGGGGCTCTTTGACCTTTGTTCTCTGGTTAGAGGTTATCTCCAGTTCTGTGTTGAGAACTGTGTCCTCCCCTGGACCCCAAAGCCACAAGGCTGGCCTGTGCTGCTGTCCTGCCTTGTTTCTAGTTAAAACACCTGCCCTTAGTTCTGTGTCCTGGTTTCATCTGACGTGTTTACTGTAGTTGCCTGTTCTCCCGATTACGCAGACTTTGTTTTAACGTTCCATTTTTCTCTCCACAAATTATTAGCTCTATCAATAAAGATCTTTAAAACCCACTTTCCTTCTCTAATTTTTTCTTTTTTCTCTTTGCGATGTCACCCATGCTGGCTTCAAGTCCTGAGCATAAGCCATGTGCCAGCACAGCCTCCCTCCTTAAGTCCCGCTTAAGTCCCATCTCTGACAGCCATTTAGCCGTCCTGCAGGGAGCACAGAAGCCTGCATCCCTAACTGGGTGTGTTGGTTTCCTATGGGTGTGGTACTTTGGTACACACCCATAGGTGTTTAAAACAGAGAAATTTATTCTCTTACAGTTCCCATGGCTAGAAGTCTGATATCAAGTAGGTAGGCAGAGCTGTGCTCTCTCCTCAGCCTCTAGGGGAGGATTCTTCCTTGGCTCTTCTGCTTCCGGAAGCCCCAGGCATCCCTTGGCTTGTGGCAGCCACAACCTCTGCCTCCCTCTCCACGGGGCTGGCTTCCTCCAGAGCCTGGCTTCTGGTTCTGTTTTCACATGGCATTGTCCTTCCTGCATCTCTGCTTTCTTATCAGGATCCCAGCCTCATCCAGGATGACCTCATCTGAGCTTGATTACATCTGTGAAGCCCATTTCCAAATAAGGCCACAGTCAGATTATCGTAGAGCTAGGACTGGGACACGTCTTTGAGGGGGAGGGGATGCAATTCAACCCACAACACTAGTTGGAAATGACTGCTCTGCTGAGTCACTTCACATTCTGATGACAGGAGGCATAGGATTTCCTGTGTCCCTGGCCTTGGGGGGATGGACACTCTTGGAAGCCTTTGTTCCCACATATGGCCCAAATTCATTCTTTCATTGATTTCCTCTCTGGGCCAACCACTGCTCACTAATTGATTCTGGTTCCTCATAGAACAAGTTGTTTGTTTGTTTGTTTGTTTGTTTGTAGTTGTAGATGGGGAGTATGCCTTTATTTATTTATTTATATGTGGTGCTAAGGATCAAACCCAGTGCCTTACATGTGCTAGGCAAGTGCTCTACCGCTGAGTTACAGCTTCAGCCCTAAAACAAGAGATTTTGAGGACAGAAAATGATTCTAACTCTATGATAAGCATCCAGGTATGCGAATGGACTAAGTTCCGATCCCACTTTTCTTATGTGCTAGCTCTCTGACCTTGGGCAAGTTGATAATCTCACTAAATATAAGTGGACATAATATTTAGATCAAAGGTAAGTGTGATGCTTAAATAGCCAAGAAGAAAATGAGATAACAGATGGCTGGCAGTAGGTATTCAGTCCACGCTAGTTCCCCTTCCCCAGTTCCCCCAACCTCCATTCTGGGGAAAATAAAAGGGCTTGGGCACTGGCCCTGGATCTGGCTCTAGGGTGCAAGCTGGTCTTATTTTCTCTCTGCAGCGACATGCCCACCGTGATGGAGAACTGCACCCAAGTCACCCGATTCCTGCTGCTGGGGCTCACAGAGCAGGAAGGGCTCCGGGGCATCCTCTTTGTGCTCTTCCTGCTCATCTACTCAGTTACCCTCATCGGAAACCTGGGCATGATCATCCTGATCCACACCAACCCACAGCTCCACACGCCCATGTACTTCTTCCTGAGCGTCCTCTCCTTCATAGACTCCTCCTTTTCCACCGTGGACACCCCCAGGCTGCTAGAGAGCTTCCTCATCTCAAGCCAGTCCATCTCCTTTGCAGGCTGTGTGGTCCAAATGGCTCTCATGACTCTCCATGGCACCGCTGAGTGTCTGCTCCTGGCCATCATGGCCTATGACCGATTCACTGCCATCTGCCACCCTCTCCTCTACCACACCATTATGTCCCAGCGTCTATGTGTCCTACTGGTGGTGTCCACCTATACTGCTTCTGTTGCCAATTCAGCTTTGCTAACGAGGCACATCTTTAAGCTGCCCTACTGTGGCCCCAATGTCATTAACCATTATTTCTGTGACATCCCCCCTGTGCTCCATCTGGCCAGTGCAGATACTAGGGAAGTCGAAGCCATTGTCTTCTCATCGTCTGCCTTGATTATCCTTTTTACCCTCACCATTATCCTGGTCTCCTATGCCTACATCCTGGTGACCATCTGCAGGATGAATTCCCTGGAGGCACAGAGCAAAGCATTCTCCACCTGTGCCTCCCACCTCACCGTCATCTGCCTGTTCTATGGCACCACCACCTTCATGTATGCTCAGCCGAACTCTCCCAATTCCATGGACCAAAACAAGGTGGTGTCTGTCTTCTACACTGTGGCCATCCCCATGCTGAACCCTCTGATCTACAGCCTGAGGAACAAGGACGTGAAAGCGGCTTTAAAGAGGAGATGTTCTGGCAAACTGCCTTTGTAACCAAGGGTGGAACATTCTCTCCCAAGCCATAACACTGTAGCCACACCATAAAACACAGATAAGATTAGGAATTTAGATAAGGTAAAATACGTGCCAGCATTATTTTATATACTGTACATGTATCAACTCATTTAATCTTCAACTGTACAAAATGGGTCCTGTTATTATTCCTTGGGAATCTGAGACACAGAAAAACTCAGTAAGTTGTCTAAAATGTCACACAGCTGATAAAAGGCAGAGCCAAGATTTGAATTTAGGCAGTCTAGTTCCAGATACCATAGTCTCAACCAATACACTACGCTGCCTCTTTCTGATAACTGCATCTCACAAATGGACAATGGTACTATTTTCTTTAAATTCCAGCTCAATCACAAAGGACTGGATCAGGGAATCATAAAGTGATATAGGAGGAACCCTGGGGTTTGAAGCCAGTGAACTTGAGTTCCGATCATCTTCGAATGACTCTTTCTTTCTTTCTTTTTTATTTCTTTCTTTCTTTTCTTGTACTGGGGATTGACCCCAGGGGTACTCAACTATTGAGCCACATGCCCGGCCCTTTCTCTATACCCTTTTCTTTTTTTATTTTGAGACAGGGTCTCACTAAGTTGAAGAGGCCCTCACTAAGTTGCTGAGGCTGGCCTCAAACTTGAGTTTTGGCCTCTTGAGTTGCTGGGATTACAGGTGAGCACCATTGCACCCAGCCTCACTATTATTTTTTTGTATCCTACTTTTTATCTGATTCTAAGAAGAAGGATTTTTAAATAAACTGTTGTCCAGGACAGCCCAGTTTTTAGAAAATTCACAATGCAGGTGGCACACAAGACAAAGCATCTCAAAGGAGTTAAGCAAATGACTTTGGAAATACTGATGTTGATAATTCTAGTTCTTCAAAACATCTTCACATTTATTATTTTATTTGCTCTTCATCAAATGCTGTACAACAGGTAAACCAGGTGTTACTACCTCATTTAACAAATAAACAGGAAAAAAAAAAGTTTAACTACTTCTAAGCCTTGCTAGAAGTCCATAACATAGAAAGCAGAGAACCCAGGAGTCCTGAATTGTTAGGGAACATCTAACACACACCTCTCAACATGGACATTCTTGATCTTGTGTTATAGACTAAATAGTGTAACCCCGCCCACCCACCACCACCACCCCAGAATTCATATGTTAAAGACCTAACCTCCTAAGTGACTGTATTTGGAGGTAAGGCCTAAAATAAGTAGGTTAAATAAGATCATAAGGGTAGGCCCCTGCTCCAGTAGGATTAATGTCCTTATAAAAAGAGAAGCCAGAGAATGATCTTTCTTTCTTTCTCTCTTTCTCTCCCCCGCCCCCTCCAAGTGAGGTCACAACAAGAAGGCAGCCATGTGGAATTTTGAGAGCTACATGTTTAAGCCTGAGATGATGGGATACACAGATGTATTAGTTAATAACAAACTTTCCCATTTACTTTCTTCTGATACAGTCTCCCTAACCTCCAAATGTCCAAGTATCGCTCCCCTGACTCCAACCTCTGGAAAACGAGGTCTCTCCCGGAAGCCTCCAATATGTCAAGAGATTCAGAGAACTGACTATAAGAATTTCAACCTCCTAAGGTTTACCAGGACGAGTTCTGCCTGGAGGAGTCAGAGAAGTTTCCCAGAAGGGCTTACATTTAAGACAGAACTAAGACAGTGATCACAAAGAGATTCTTTTTTTTTTTTTAGGCTGATAAAGGGACTGGGGAGAAGTCATCCCAGGTGTCCTGAATTGTGATGGAATTTTTTTTAAAGTCTGGAAATAGTCCTGACTGGTGTAAAGGCTCTGTGAAAGCAACAGAGATCCAGGAACCTTCTGTATTTCTGTCCGAGCATCTTTAGTGCGTATTTTCTTTTATGGGCTTGATTGTTCCCTCAAAAATGCATATGTTGAAGTCCTCATGCCCAGCACCTCAGAACATGGTGGGATGTGCAGACAGGTTCTTCAAAGAGGTGATGAGGTTAAAATGAGCCCACCCCAGGGTGGTCCTAAGCCAGTCTGACTGTTGTGCTTCCACAAAGAGGAAATTTGGACACCAAAAAAGCCAGGATTGTGCACACAAAGGAAAGGCCACGTGAGGACACAGTGCACAGGTGGCCACTGGTAAACCAAGGAGAGGGGCTCCTACCAGTCCATGATCTTGGACTTCCAGCCTCCAGGAGGCCATAACAAAGAATGGCCAGCAAAGGAATGCGGCTTCCATACTCGAGGCCACCTCTGGGTCCTGTCCGGCTACTGAAGCCCTAACCAACAATTCAGTGCTCAAAGAAGAAAGCTGAAGAATGGGGGTGGGGGGGGGATTGCCAGCTGTCTGTTCCCTTTAGATAGCCTTCCCAGTAACAGCTGTGTGCCTCTCCTGAGCCAGAACTTCAGCACTAGAAGTCACAATTGGCGAGGGAAGCTGGGAAATAAAAGTCTTAGCTGGGCACAGGCCGTCTGGACTATCTCGGGATCGGGCTATCAAGGAAGGGCAGAATGAGTCCTGGGTGGGTGTCTAGCCACGGTGGCCACCCCTCTCTTGCTGCCTACTGCCTAGGGGGTGGAGGAAAATTGACAGCTCACCCACATCACTGACGCATCCTGCCAACAGATTGTGTGTGGACAGCAAACCAAGTTTAACCCAGCAAATTCGATGAGATCATGTCTTAGTCATTTGAGCTGCTACAACAAAATGCCATAAACTGGGTGGCTCCTACACAGCAGAAATGTATTTCCGATAGTTGCGGAGCCCAGACGGTAGCCGACTCAAGAGTCCAGGGAGGATTCAAGTTCATAAGCCGCGCCTTATGTCCTCGCATGGTGGAAGGGGAAACCAGCTCTTGGGTCTGCTTAACAAGGGCAGTATCTCTCTGATATGTGGATGCTAACATGCAATAAGGGAAGGGGGTGAATAGAAATTCATTGAATTAGACAAAGGGGAATGAAGGGAAGGGAGGGGGATGGGAATGGGAAAGACAGTAGAATGAATCAGACATCACTTTGCTATGTTCGTATGTGAATACATGACCAGGGTAACGTCACATTATGTACCACTGCAAGAATGGGATCATAATTAGAATAAGTCATACTCCATGTATGTATAATATGTCAAAATACACTCTACTGTCATGTATATCTAAAAAGAACCAATTTTTTTAAAATGTACTAATCCCATTCATAAAGTCTTTGCCCTTGGCCTTATCCTCTCCCAAAGACCCTGCCTCTCAATATTATCCCCTAGGGGGTTAGGATTTCAACATATGAATTTGAGGAAGATATAAACATTCAGACTTCAGCAGATCGAATTGTAAAAATTCATACTCCCAGTTTCTCTAGAATGCAACAATAAAAAAAAGATCACTCTGCTAGTCTTATTCTCAGCAGAGTCGTAATCGTCTGATGCTGAGCCACAGCTGCTATTTCAGCCTCTCCTGGTCCCCCTCAACCCAGTTTACCCAACACTCTTGATTACTGGCTGTTGCCTTTTTAACATGCCTGGAGTTTTTACTGTAGTAGAGAAACTTTGTTATATTCACATGTCTAGCAAAAGTAAAAAAAGAAAACATGGACCTAGAGACCCACATGCTTTCAAATAAAAAGCCAGCACCTAGACCAATGCTAAACACACAAAGATGCTCAATAAATACTCTGAATGAATCAAGAGATTATTCCTCTTTTTAATGTTAAAAAAAGTCTCTATAGATTTAATATAAGCCCCTCTACCCCAAAAAAATTTGTCCACAAAGAAAAAATAAAGGCTACATTTTTTAATCCATTTAAGGATTCTAAATGACGCATTTTGACCTTCGAGTTTGCAAATTTTGACCAATGGGTAAAACTCTAGACTCTACTATTATCTTAAGAGAGACCATCCCACCAGTCATGATGGCACACACCAGTAATCCAAGCAACTCAGATGGCTGAGGTAGGAGATCGAAAGTTCAAGGTCAGCCTAAGCAACTCAAGCAATTTAGCAAGACCTTGTCTCAAAATTAAACAGGCTGGGGATGTAGCTCACGGTAAAATGCCCTAGGTTAAATCCCCAGTACCGTGGAGTGGGGTGGGGAGAGATTATCCCAAACTGACCTTCCAAGAAAGCACCCCACATTTTCCACCAGGCCCTGCAGCCACAACCAGTGACCTGGCCTGACTCAAACAGACCGTGCGTTCTCACCCACCTCTGCCTTGCTCAAGTCTGTCCCAGTGCTGGGAATGTACTTCCCCCTCCACTGTCAGCTTGACAAAGTTCTATTATCATTTTAGTCCCAGCCTGCATGCAATGCCTTCTGGGAAACGTCTGACTCCTGTAGATAGAATCCATCTTTCTTTCCTCTGTGCTCTGGTTTTCCTTTGATAAAGGGGAAAAAAAAGTTTTTAAACTATTAGAAACCAAAGTTTAAGCACTGGGTAGGACTTTTTATTTTATTTCTATTTTATTTTTTTTTTACTTTCAAGCAGGAGATCTACCCAATACAGAGCCTAGGAAATTTCTGTACGGTTTAGATATGACGTGATCCAAAAAAACTCCTGTGTTAAAGGCAGGGATCTTCACAGGGCTGATGATCAGATTATGAGAACTGTGACCCAATCAGTTCTTCCCAGTTTGAATGGATTGACTAGGCGTGACTATAGGTAAGTGGGGCATAGCTGGAGGAGGCGGGTCACTGGGAATGCACCCTGGAAGGGTATTCATCTGCCCTGTGGTCCCTTCTCCTCCCTCTCTTCCTACCTCTCTCCCCACACACTCCTGCCACCCCCCTCATGGCAGGCCTCCATGTCTTAAGCAGCTTTCGCCCACCATGCCCTTCCGCCATGATGTTCTTGCCTCACCTCAGGCTCAGAACAATGGTGTCAGCTTACTGTTGGATATGGAAAATGACAAACTCCAAAATAATATGGCCCCAGGGAAAAGGAATGAGGGAGTCACCATCTTTCCCGGTTACAGGCTGTGTGGCGGGTAGGATATATCCATCAAGTCTGAAATGACAGTTTCCAGA